CGAGTGGAGGCTCAACAGGAGCTCCTATAGGTTTTGGTTTGCTGCCACTACCTCCTGCTGGAGAGAGCGGCTTTCCTCGCGGACCGCCACCGACAGGAGGACTGTCGATAGGGGCCCCACCTTCCATATTGTAAGCTTGCTGATCTCCACCATCTGAAGTTGGTGGATTTGCAGGACCAGGTTGACCAGTTTCTGCATCTTCGTAGCCCGAATTTTGAGAAACGTAGTTGGCGAAAGTGACGCCGATGGTCAACGAGAGCAACAGGAACTGCATCTGCAATCAGAAAATTACTCCAATATAGTCAACAAACTGAAAGTTTTGAAAGTGTGTAAATCGGCAAATGAATGCGTGTTATGTGATAAATGGGTCGGAATGGCGGTGATTGCGTAAATCCTAAAACTACACCTCCTCTCCCTCTTTTATACTACCACAACATTCACTTGTTCGACTTTTATTTCAATCCAGTAAGTTTTTTGTGTCATGTAGCGCATAGCACCGTCACCTAATTGAGAACAAACATCCATGAAGGCCGTGTTATCGGAGATTATGCGTCTAAATGTTGTTCCAAATTCTTTCGTTATTAAACATCTCATCATGGGGTTAAATGGAACACTACCGAAATTTCTATAACGTCCCTCATTGCTCACACGTGGGCATTAGAGACGCAACTGATAAGCCTGACAAGCTTATAAAGTTTTACAGTCAAATTCGCAATTACAAATCAACCCAAAGTAATCTTGCGATTTACGTTTTCTACTGCAGGAATTTTAAATCTTCTTCTCTAAAACTGACATAATCCTGCCCTCATCAGTAGATCTGAAATACCCTTCTAAATTTCATGCAGAAAACCTGGCTCCTGCCCTAAACGCACCATATGGCAAAAGCTGACTCAGGTGGAAAACGTTTTGCTATAAACTAAGATGTAGGACCTAATGAAGCTATATCTAACAGTATCATTGGATCAATTAAGTATTTCCTTTTTAGGACCCAATAATTCAAGCGCATGTTGTTAAATATCACTCTCAAATGTTTTTGTCATCATGGAAGCTGAACTGCAAAATTTAGGAGAGTTTGATTCCATTTGGCGCATCGAGAACGGACTACTGGTATTCATCCAAAATTGTTCTTTGTTATGATTTCTAATATGGACTCATGATTTGCTTTTCTGGCAAGTATTCCTTGAAATACTGATGTATTTTTTAAAAGCAATGATGTTCTGCGTTCCTTAACACATATTCTATGTTGTAAGACATTGTTTACTGAATCACAGGACAAATTTTAAAAATAGAAAAAATTACTATAGATCACCGCTCTTGTCATAAATAAAAGTGTAGTTGCACAAATCATTGTCGCATTGTATATGTGTATTTAGTCTCCCTACTATATATAACAAAGAAATGAAAAGTTTTCTGGAATATTGACAAATAATTGGAAAAGTTTTCTTTTTCTTTTTT